TTAGGATTAAAGGAAATTGATAGACTTATTTCAAAATGTAAATCACTTATCTCTATTTTGTCAAAAGAAAAAAAATGGAAGCAACTTTGTGAGGCTCAGCTACAAATTACTCCAGGCCTCAAAGAACCACTAGATATTATTAAAGATGTAGATACTAGATGGAACTTTACCTTTTATTCTATTGAATGTCTTGTATCTTTAAAACCTGCTATTATACAATTATATTCAACTCTTAATAATCATACTGTTAGGGAGATTAGAAGAGGAGTGAAAACGATGAGTTCTTTTCTTTCTTCAGAAGATGAATTTGAATTATTGAATGAACTTATTGTAATCCTTTCTCCTTTCAATGAAGCAATGCAATTTTTAAGCGGATCTGAATATCCAACACTTGGTTTTATGACACCAATGTTGGAAGAACTCACTCACCGGCTTAGGCAATTTACTAGACAAAGTTATAAAGCAATTCTTGTGAAAGACATGATCTTGAATAACTTAGTTGAACATTGGGGAGATCCAAGTGAGATAGGATTGTGCTGTTCTTTTCTTGACCTACGATTTAAGAGCTTAAATTTCTGTTCAAGTAATTTACGCCGCACAACAATTTAAATTATGCGTAATTGATTTAATAAACTAATACAAACTACAAATGATAACACCACACAAACCACTAATGATAATAATACAACCTTAATACCACCTCAACGTAAAAAGCTTAAAATGGCAATATTTTTTTCTCATTTATGAACAGAAAGCACTAATGTACCTGATAAATTTGATCAGTATTGTGAGATACCTGAAATTTCTCTTGAAGAAGAATCCTGTCCTTTGATTTGGTGGCACCAAAACAAAACTCTCTTTCCTACTTTGGCAATCTTGGCAAGACGATATCTTGCGGTGCCAGCTTCCTTCGTCCCATCAGAGCGTCTGTTTTCTGATGCAGGCAACTATATAACAGATAAGCACAACAGACTCGATCCTGATTTATTGAAACAATTGATATTTCTTAAAAAAAATATGAGCAGCATTAATGTTTTTTCTACTTAAGGCTGGGTTGTGAATAGACAGTATTAGACAGCCATTAGACATATAAAAATTATGAATAGACATATATTTGTCTAATGACTTTTTTCCATTAGACTATGTAAGCTCACAACCTTGCTTAAGGTAATTTATATATTAAATGCTTTATGATGATATTCTTAATAAGGATCATATGTTTGTGTATCTTGTGATCTGTATCTTACTTATAATATTTATTATTAAGTAGACCTTGTAAGTATTTCTTATTTAAAACATTCGATTTGATTCGTAAGTATTTTCATTAAATGTGCCTGCTATTTTAGTTGGGTAATCGATTATCATTTTAAATTTCAAACTTATGATTACATAATTTAAGTCATAATTTTAAGAGTATAAAAGATCATTTATTTCTTCTATTTAAACTTACAATTAAATTTACAAACACTACTATTAAACTGCCTTCTACTCATTTATTTTACATGGAATTGGTGAGTACAATAATTGGTTGTTAAAATTTGCAATTTAAACTTACGAGTGATTACTTTAAATAGTGCTTTCAAATCCCAGGTTTTTTAATTTGCATTAGTCTGATATGCATTTATTATCTTATCTATTTTTTGTAAATCAAGCTTATATCATGCTTGCCTTTCAAATAGCACCTTTCGAGTCATTTTATTATTATTAATTTGGTGGGTCCGAAGATTATTTATTCAATGTTTAAAATCTCAAAAATTACGGTTAAAATTTAGATTTTTATCTTTATACATAGTACATTCCGGGTCACTCAATTCTTATTTATTTTGTGAGTATAAATATTAATTTTATTTGAACCTTATGATAATGACCCAAGTTTATAAGTTTTACTTTTAAAAGTGCTTTTTGGATCGTAAGGCTTGTATTAGCCAAATAAGTATAAAAATTATTTTAATTGTTTCATTATTGTTTCAATTTAAGCTTACGTAGTATCTATATATTATTAAATACGTACTGTAGGTGTTATCAGGCTCTTTATTTAACTCTCATGTATTTGTGGGCATCTTCCGTTTTACATTAAAATTTTACTTTGTAGGATCTTTGAGATCTAGTCCCATAAGTATAAATGTCACTTATGATTTTATTATAATGTTTCTAGTAATCAATACCTAATTGAATATTTATCTGATAATTGACTTTCAAAATTAATCCATTAATATAAACATCAGATAAGCAAATAAATCTCAAATGGTATCTCTGGCTCTTTTTTTTTTTTTTTTTTTTTTTTTAAAAAAAAAAAAAAAAAAACTTATCATATTGACGACTTTGGAGAATTTGATCTCTAGGAAATTTGCTGTCAGAATGAAAATTATTTGTATACTTGTTTTGGGTTTTAAACTGAGAAACTTTATTATTATTAATATTGGGATAGACATATATAGGTATTATATTTATTTAGATATTATAGTGGGTTAACTTTCTGGCTAGTAATGTAAAGGGTTGTTGTATAATTTTATTACCTTAAGCTTTTTTCCTGTTCTGGGATGCCTATCTTGTCCTATTAACATTACAATTTTAAATTATAAAATTGTATACAAATGCAAAATTAAAGTAAATTG